CAAACCAAATTGTGTTAGTTTCTTAACGATTCATTACCGAACTAGAGTTCTTGATTTACGAGGTCGCTGTTTGATTCTTTTTATCTTAAAAAAATATTCTCATTGATTAAATAAAKAAAWTATAACAAAAGAAATAAYGAAYCCTRGAACTTGYGACATGAATCAAGAATTTCTAACTCATCAACCAACTGAGCCAATAAATATTATTGTAAATTACTCCATAAAATATGATTAAATCAAATATTTATGATTAAGGGCATAATAGGATTTTAACTAAATTAAAGTATATATCACCAAACTTAAATAATAAAGCTATAGATGGGCAAACTTAAAAAAAAAACATCCTTTATTTTCAATTTTCCCTTTTTTTTTTTTTGTTCATTGTAGCTTTGTCATTAATGTTAGTAGGTTTTGATCTTTCTTTTCTAAATTATTCATGTAATCAATGTCACAAATTATAAAATGGGTTAATTAATGAAATAACATGTTTGAATATCTAAATTAATAAAGTAGCATGCAAAGATTGAAAATTTAGTAAGTAACAAAAAGAAAATAAAGTAGACGATTTTACCTTTTTAATACGTTTAAATAATTTTTTTTCAATTTAATGCATATATAATGCAAATCTGCCTAGTAAAAATATATAATAACTTCTTCTATATATATAGTACTAATTTTTACGAGGTCGCCCTAACCATTCTCCCATGCACGGTTCACGAGGTGGCCGCCGCTGGCGAATATCGAAGTGATTTTCGTAACTCTGGTCATCGTTTCGTCATGGCTCTCGACTAAGATCTGCAATCGTTAGGCATCTGGGATCATTTACAAACTCATCCGAGATTTCCCCGACATCATCCGTTTCTTCGTTCATGGCCTTCACGTGCGAGATTCGATTGTTCCAGTCCTCACCATCTGCTCCGGGGACTCTCGTTAACTCCCCCCCCACCTGAGATGATGGATTTGTTGCGGTCGAGCCCTCCTCCTCCACCCGAGCCACCGCCGAACCCGTCAGATCTTCCGGCGAGAGCATCATCGCCAACGCATTCCGACTTGATGTGGCTATCGGAATGCTGCTCCCTCTGTCCTTGGGCTCGAGACTCTGTGTCTGACAAAAAAAAAAAAAACTTCTTCTATAGATAAATTCGAAGTTGACATATGAAAAAACATTTTTTTTTATTTTTTCTGCATTTTATGTTCGTTCAAAACAACCATGATGTTTTACTTTTAGAATAATGATTTATTGTTTGAATAGATAAATTATATAGTGAACTTTATTTTAATATAATTAACTATTTATTTGATATAATGAATTATAAGATTCACACATTAAAAATGTGTAATAGTTAAGTATTGTAAATATATTTAACTATAAAAATAATAGTAAAATATTTGTAAAAATAACAAGTATAGTCAAATGATGTTTTACTATCTTCATTTTAAAATGATATTTTAGGATAATTTATTAATTGGTGTGCAAAATTCTTTGGCTCAACCCTAGGGGATAATAAACCTTAATATGGGAGTATAAATCCTAATATGAGAACATAAAAAG